TGCACTCCAGCCTCCGCGACAGAGCGAGACTCCGTCTCAAAAAAAAAAAAAAAAAAGTATCAACCAAATAGAATGGTAATTGTCATCAGAAGCCATTTTTCCTTTTAAGTGGATATTTGATAAGTATTTAATTGCTTTTAATTTTTTTTCATTTATTTATTTTCCCAGAGACAGGATCCCACTCTGCTGCCATAGGTGGAGTGCAAGGGTGCGATCATAGCTCACTGCAGCCTCCACCTCCTGAGCTGAAGCAATCCTCCTGCTCAGCCTCCTGAGTAGGAACCTCCTGGTACAGGCATGCACTACCATTCTTGGCTAATTTTTCTATTTTTTGTAGAAATGGGGTCTTGCTGTGTTACCCAGGCTGGTGCTAAATGCCTGGTCTCAAGCAGTCCTCCCATTTCAGCCTCCTAAAGCACTGAGATTGCAGGCATGAGGCACAGCACTTGGTTTGTTTTGCATATAAAGTGTTTTATTTCATATTTATGACAGTAATATATGTTACTTAAAAAAGCAGTTATTTAAATAAACCATGAACCATATTATCTCCTCACAAATATTCTAAGTTGGTAAAAAGAGATATGAATCTCTTCATTTTTAATCTCCTTTGATTTTTTTTCATTTTGTAAAAATGAAGTCACATCAGTGACTTCTGCCTTGTCATTTTTTCTTTCTTTTTTTTTTTTTTAAGGCAAAGAGCAGTGCTTGGACCCTGCCACGGGGGCCAACAGATCCCCTGTCTCCCTCCCCACACCTTGTCATTTTCAAAATATTTAGCAGGGTTGAAATTGTAAAGTAAATTGAGAACAAAAAGGAAAGCAATTTGAAAAATTAGGAAACAGCTGCAGAATAAACAAACTAACAAATGATTACAGTTATGACAGTGTTAATCATTCTTTATGAGTAGTAAAATATTTGCATCTATTAGAACATGCCTCACTTCAGCAATGGGTGGAAATTTACATTTAAGTGTTTTACTGTGAATGAAGCAGTCTACAGATTAAAATTAGGTCACATTTTCCGACATACCAAATTTATCCGATAAATAATTTTTTAAAAAATCAATATAACAAATGAAAGAAATTTATGGGAATGTCTAGAGCTCCTTCTCCCCACAGAACACTTTTCAATTTTCATTACTTAGGAGACATAATTTTCCTTAAGTCATATTAAACACTCTACTTCAAATATTCTAATTAGAATATTTAAATAATATTCCATTTTCATATTTATCTGTATTTCTCTAATAAATACATATGTAATGCTTATTGCTTTGTGAATATTTAATTTCAGAAATAATGTTTAAGTATTTACCAGGTATCTCCTCAGTTAACTTTTATTTCATTCCAAGGGATAAGGTGTCATTGGTGAAGACCCCACTATCTAAATTCTTGATTTACATTATTTCATTTAAAACTTGAAATACACCATAAGTTAGGGATTATAATGTTCATTTTGCCACTTAGGAAATTGAAGTCCAGAAAGAATGAATAATTTTTCAAACTCACACAACCAGTAATGATAAAAATGAGTATTTTACCCATTTGTCTGACTCCAGAATTCATGTCCTTTGCACTATACCATGCTGCATTCTAGCAAGTTACTTGAAACATGGAATATGGAATTCTGTACAAGTACTTAGATTATGGTATACTGTGCTTTCTTAAAAATGCTCCTAATTTAATACTTTGCCTCTTTATACATAATGAAAAACTGGATGATCACTCTCCATCCCCCTTCCTTAGGTGACCTCCCATTGCTATGACCTGAGGTATATGAGGTCTACTATCAGCAAAGACACCTGGAAGAGGAGCTGAGGAGGCACTGTGTCCTCAACATTCCATCTAGAGCTTCCCTGGTAACGCAGGGTCAGTCCATTCACAAAATCTCTCAGTTCTCCCCTTCCCCATTACCAATGTGTTTTTCACCTTAACTTCACCCCTTTCCCCAAATATAAAACCCATAGGTGCAAACTCAAATCGCTCTGACAAAGCTTTCCTGTAATGTCATTCCTATCTCTCTGAGTTCCAAAACTCTTCAGCACTATCCGAAATGGCCACAAATTCGCTTGAATTTTCTACAAATCCTGTTCAACTGTGAATGAATTCCCTTTTATTTTTAATTTCTCCCTCAAATTGTTCTACTAACTTCTCATAATAAAGTTTTCCTCACCACAGCCTTGTTCTCACCTCCCAAGGCTGTTCCCACTTCCCACTCCCTCTGTTCCTTCTTACTGTTTCTCGTTACCTTTTCCTTTTTTGTTCTTTAAACCTCTTTGCTTCGGAAGTCCATGCCATTCACTGCTCCATATCCCTTTTTATTGTTTACCACCTTTGATTTTGAAAAGATCAGGTTCACAATTTATTTCTTAATCTGTCATCTAGCTCAGAGACTTTATTAAAAAGTGATCTCTAAATTACTTTGGGCAGTATGGCCATTTTCACAATATTGATTCTTCCTATCCATGAGCATGGAATGTTTTTCCATTTGTTTGTGTCCTCTCTCATTTCCTTGAGCAGTGGTTTGTAGCTCTCTTTGAAGAGGTCCTTCACATCCCCTGTAAGTTGTATTCCTAGATATTTTATTTTCTGTGTAGCAAACGTGAATGGGAGTTCACTCATGATTTGGCTGTTTGTCTATTATTAGTGTATAGGAATGCTTGTGATTTTTGCACACTGATTTTTGTATCCTGAGGCTTTGCTGAAGTTGCTTATCAGCTTAGAGATTTTGGGCTAAGACAAAGGAGGTTTCTAAATATACCATCGTGTCCTCTGCAAACAGACAATTTGACTTCCTCTTTTCCTATCTGAACACCATTTCTTTCTTTCTCTTGCCTAATTGCCCTGGCCAGAACTTGCAACACTATGTTGAATCGGAGTAGTGAGAGAAGGCATCCTTGTCTTGTGCCCGTTTTCAAAGGGAATGCTTCCAGTTTTTGTCCATTCAGTATGATATTTGCTGTGGGTTTGTCATAAATAGCTCTTATTATTTTGAGATATG